TACTGCAACCTCCACCTCCCTGGTTCAAGTGATTCTCGTGCCTCAGCCTCCCGAATAGCTGGGATCACAGACATATGCCACCACACCTAGCTAACTTTGTATTTTTAGTAGAGATGGGGTTTTGCCATGTCTGCCAGGCTGGTCTTGAACTCCTGACCTCAGGTGATCCCACTTTGGCCTACCAAAGTGCTGGGATTACAGGTGTGAGCCACAGTGCCCAGCCAGTCTTTTTATTATTTATTTTTATTTATTTATTTATTCTGAGACAGAGTCTTGCTCTGTCACCCAGGTTGCTGGAGTGCAGTGGCACAATCTTGGCTCACTACAACCTCCACCTTCTGAGTTCAAGCAATTCTCCTGCCTAAGCCTCCCAAGTAACTGGGATTTCAGACATGTGCCACCACACCCAGTTAATTTTTGTATTTTTTAGTAGAGATGGGGTTTGGCCATGTTGGCCAGGCTGGTCTTGAATGCTTGGCCTCAAGTGATCCACCCTCCTTGGCCTCCCAAAATGCTGGGATTATAGGCATGAGCCACCATGCCCCACCTAGCTCTTTTTTTTTTTTTTTTTGAAATGGAGTTTCACCTTTGTTGCCCAGGCTGGAGTGCAATGGCGTGATCTCGGCTCACCACAACCTCCGCCTCCCGGATTCAAGCGACTCTCCTGCCTCAGCCTCCCGAGTAGCTGGGATTACAGGCATGCACCACCATGCCCAGCTAATTTTGTATTTTTAGTAGAGATGGGGTTTCTCCATGTTGGTCAGGCTGGTCTCAAACTCCCGACCTCAGGTGATCTGCCTAACTCGGCCTCACAAAGTGCTGGGATTACAGGTATGAGCCACTGCGTCCAACCCCCACCTAGCCTTTTTAATTTTAACCATTTCAGCAGACGTGATCATGATTTATTTATATTTTTTGCAGAATCCTCTGACAACAAAAGCCCGTTTGCCCCTCATCTGCCACACAGTAGGGAGCAAGAGCCTTGCCTTTCTCCTCTGAGATGCTCCGTAGTGCTTAAATAAGAGCTTAAGAAGGCTTATTAAATTAAATGAATTGGTGACCATGAAGAAGCTGTGCTTGGAAGCAGACAACACAAAGGAGGGAGCTCTTGCATCAGGGCAGGCCCATTCAGGTGTTCTAAATTCCAGCAAATAAGACTGTACTTTTAGGGATCATTTATTTAGTTCATTTTATTTATTTATTTATTTTTTTTTTTTGAGACGAAGTCTTGCTCTGTCGCCCAGGCTGGAGTGCAGTGGCCGGATCTCAGCTCACTGCAAGCTCTGCCTCCCGGGTTTACGCCATTCTCCTGCCTCAGCCTCCCGAGTAGCTGGGACTACAGGCGCCCGCCACCTCGCCCGGCTAGTTTTTTTTTTTTGTATTTTTTAGTAGAGACGGGGTTTCACCGTGTTCGCCAGGATGGTCTCGATCTCCTGACCTCGTGATCCGCCCGTCTCGGCCTCCCAAAGTGCTGGGATTACAGGCTTGAGCCACTGCGCCCGGCTATTTAGTTCATTACTAGATAAGTTTCTCTGAATAGGTAGAGCGCTGAATTATAATAGATTTTAAAATAAATGAGTAAATAAATTCCAGTGACTAACTAGATTCAGTTGCAATCAGGAGATCTTGTTTTTGGAAAGAAGGAAGGAAAAAAGGAGGGAAGAGAGGGAAGAAGGAAAGAAAGGAGAAAAGGAAGAAAAGAAGGAAGGAAGTAAAGCAAGGAAGGAAAGAAAGAAGGAAGGAAGGGAGGGAGGGAGATAAGGAAGGAAGGGAAGGAAGGAAAGAAACACCAATGTTTGTTTGTTTGTTTTGAGACGGAATCTTGCTCTGTCGCCCAGGTTGGAGTGCAGTGGCGCGATCTCAGCTCACTGCAACCTCTGCCTCCCAGGTTCAAGCCATTCTCTTGCCTCAGCCTCCTAAGTAGCTGGGATTACAACCACCCGCCACCATGCCTGGCTCATTTTTGTATTTTTAGTAGAATTGGGGTTTCACCATGTTGGCCAGGCTGGCCTTGAACTCTTGAGCTCAGGTGATCTGCCCACGTCGGCCTCCCAAAGTGCTGGGATTACAGGCATGAGCCACCGCACCCAGCCAAAACACCACTATTAATCAATTGGGCCTCAGTTTCCTCATGTGTAAAATGGAGATAATAATACTGCCCTGGCTAATGAGAGAATGAGAGGCAGTGCTTTACCATTTGTAAATTTTAATTTGTAGATTGATAGAATTATTTGCCAGGCGCGGTGGCTCAAGCCTGTAATCCCAGCACTTTGGGAGGCCGAGACGGGCGGATCACGAGGTCAGGAGATCGAGACCATCCTGGCTAACACGGTGAAACCCCGTCTCTACTAAAAACTACAAAAAACTAGCCGGGCGAGGTGGCGGGCGCCTGTAGTCCCAGCTACTCGGGAGGCTGAGGCAGGAGAATGGCGTGAACCCGGGAGGCGGAGCTTGCAATGAGCTGAGATCCTGAGATCGGGCCACTGCACTCCAGCCCGGGCGACAGAGCGAGACTCCGTCTCAAAAAAAAAAAAAAAAAAGAATTATTTAACCATAACCACCATCTGTGGAACTTTCTAAAATATATGGATTCCAGGGACCTAGCCCTGAAGATCCAGATTGGCATGATCTAGGGTGGGGCCTGGGTATGTACATTTTTAAAAAGCTTCAATACTCAGCTAAGGGTGAGAACAGCTGGGGTAAAAATATGTATGATCATCATTATTGTTATAGTATGATCATCACTGTAGTTACCTTTTGGAGGATGAAAGTGGGAAACACCCTTCAGGGAAGTCTATAAAGCACCTAGATCCATTGTAAGTCCTTAAATAAGGACCACTGCCACTGTCTTCACTCCCTGGTCTTCTCTGGCCTAGAGTTTCAGAGGCAGGTTCATAAGTGTGTTTGTATGTGTTTTCATGAATATGTGCTTGGAAAAGGCAATGAGAAGAAAGCAAATTACGAGGGGTTTCTGTCTTGAGAGGAAGCTACTAGAACCAGGAAGAGCAAGAAGTCTGATTCCTAAGGGCTCAGGCCTATGCACTTAACTGTAAGAAACAAGTGAAAGTGGTCCCGTTGAGCTCCACGAGGAGCATGGCTAATCCTGTCACTCTGATTTGCATGTAGGGATGGTCTGCTTGTGGGGATGGTCAGTTCCTGCAGAACCGTAACTGCTGAGCTCATGAAGATCCCCCTGGGATCTGGTCTGAGAATCCAGCAGCCAACTCTCTCCCTCCTGTTAGTACTTTCCCCCATCGCTGGTATCCCAGGGTACTGTCCATCTCTGAGAGGTCAGAGCAGGGCAAAGACCAACCCACCAATTCCCCTCTGCCCAGGGACCTCAGTTCCTGGGCCACTCCCTATCCAAGGCCACAAGGCCAAGTTCTAGGTCTCTTCCACTCTTTATACTCAGTAATGGGGACCCTACGGGACTAAGCTAGGGTCCTTGCATGTCCTGGTATGGAGGTGGGAGTGAGTAGAGGGCTAGGGCTCAGAAAATGATGTGGGAAGAGAAAAAGGGAAATAAAATAGAGGGCAGGATTAATGAAGTGGCTTCAAAAGCTAATAGTGCATTTCCCAACATCTCCTCCTCTCCCATCCCAAGGGAACCTGCCCACAGCCCCAAAGCAGCCTGCCCACCTCAGTCCACCTGCTAGAGATCCCAGCGCTGGAAAGAGGCAGTAAGTCTCTCAAGGTGAGGGACAGAACTCCCCTTCCTTTATACTCCAATCTCTGGAGATGAAACCCCAGGTCTCAGCCCCTCCTGTGAAGCACAGGCCCACCCCCACCCCTACCCAGCTTCAAAACAGGCAGTGGGAGGTGCATTATCTGGCAATGCTTTGGGGACAGCTCCTGCCATCCGCAGCCATGGCCGTCTTAGTTTCTTTCAGCTCATCCCATGAAATGCCCTCCTTTATCCCAGGCCTCCTCCCTAGAAGCTGACTTGGAGCTAGATTCCCAAATAAACAGTAACTAATTGGATTAGGAGCCGATAATACTGTTGACCTTTCTTAATGTCTGCTGGCTGTCTTTCCACCACACTGAGGCTTAATTGTATGGGGTGGGGAGGAGGGTGGGGGACTTCCAGGAGTGAAATGTGACCCCTGTTAACCTCAGATAAAATGGGCTCAGCGTCTTCCCAACTGCCTGTCATCCCCCATGGAGCAGGAAGACACACATGCTCCCTCTCTCATCAAATAATTACACAGATGATACACACATGCATAGGCATGCATACAGAGATGCAAACAAACCCAGAGGCACATATGCATTCACACGTGGTGCACACATAACTTTGAACCTGGGTCATACAGGTACACAAGTCACACTTGAATGATACACATACACAATTACATATATGAAAGACAAGTATATGCATATACACAGATACACATTTGCAAAATGCAAACACATGGATACATATCAACAAGTATGTATTATTGCACACATGATGCAAATGCATAATAGATGTACTCATATACATACACAAGATACATATGCAAGATACACTGACATGCACACATATGCATGATGCTTAAGTAAATGAGCATGCAAAGTCCATGATACATGTGCACACACACATATGCATGCTATGCATACCTTTGCACACAGATAGAGGTCAGAACCCACCCCCCCCCCCACCACCCCCCCGCCCCACACACACACACGCCGGCAGTTTGCCCCATTCCACAGCCCATCTCTTTCCCAGTCTCTGCTGCTACCACTTTCTATTTGTTCCTGGGTTGTCTGGCTGTGTTTCTGGGATCCTGAGTTTATGGGTCTCTTGGAGTTCTGGCCCAGCCCCTCTGAGTGTCTCCTCCTTTCAGTATCTCTGGGGCCCTGTGCCCGTGTGGATCTCTCTCATCCTGGGATGCTGAAGTGGAAAAGGATCTGGCTGCCACGTTGGTAGGGAAGGCATGAAAAGGGAAGAGATTAGAAGGGGAGAAGGGTGGGAGAGGAGGGCCAGAGAGGGTGGAAAGGCGGGTCGGGGGAGAGGACCGGGAAAGAGGGGCGCAGGGAGCGAGGGGCGGGGGAGGGGCGCCTGCCTGCGCACAGCAGATGTTGCCGCTCCTCGGATGGAGCTGTTAATGTAAGTGGAGTTTCTGCAATGGTAATTAGGAGGGCCCTCATTACCCTGGCGGAGCCGGCTGAGAGCCGATAAAGCCGAGGGGGAGAGGGGCCGACATCAGGGTAATGGGGGAGCAGGGCCATTGAAGAGCTGGAGCCGAGCCGGGGACCGCTCCGCGCACAGCTGGAGCCCGGCAAGAGGGCCGCGGAAGGGGGGTGCGGACCGGGCCCGGAGCCTGGGGAGGAGCCGGGAGGCGAGCGGCGAGGGGCGCGGCGCGGCCGGGTCTGCCCCCGGGCTTCGCACCGCGAAGCGGGTCGAAGTACCGCGAGTTGGCCCTGACTGTCTGCAGGATGAAGGTGTTGAGGAGGGTTCCAGGCCGGCGTGCCTGCCTCGCCTCCAGCCCTGGGTAAGGAGATCCACCGGGGCCTTTGCGCCTATACTTAAGTGGCCAGACAGAGATGGGGCGGGAGGTGGGTATATGGAAAGGACACCCTTCCCCTCTATGGGCCCCGCCCCCTGTGCAAGGGTGGGGAACTAGCACCCTCGTCCAGCGTCTAGCGTGACCAAGATATGGACTCTAGAACGAGAGTTGAAGGCTCCAGAATGTCAGATCACACACTGGAAAAGACCAACCTTCAGGGTTGGATGTGGAAGCCTCTTGACTCTTTGGATTGAAAAGAGTCAATCCCCTCTCCTGGGAGGACTCTCCCTCCCATCCTCCCCTACATAATAACCTCCCAGCCCTATAGGAGCTACAAGCAAAGACAATTGGAGAAGCTCGTCCAAGCAGTCCTAAGTACCTTGCTTCCACGCAGGGCTTTGCAGGAAGAGGAAGGGAGGCAGGGAAGGGTACGGTGACAGCTGTAGACATCGCCTGCAGCTCTGCTCTGCTCCCCAGCCAGGAACCCAGGAGGCCCTCCCAGACCCCCAGAATGGGGTTCCAGGGTGGGCAACTCATTTGCCATCTATCTTCCTCACACCTGAGTATTCTAGGATGGGCCTCCAGCGCTTTCCAGGCTAACTCAACGAGCCCAGTCTTCTTAGTCAACTGAGAGCCATGTCTACAGTACAGACCGTGTGGCCATCTCCTCCTCCTCCCACTGTCTCAGGCAAAAGGACTCTGGGAACAGGCAAGAGGACTCTGGGAAGACATCCAGGAGGCAAGGAGTCGGTAGCCAGGGCAGAGAGAGAGAAACTGTGGGGGTCTGTACAGGCCACATCCAGCAGAGGACCCCCACACCCTTTTCATCCCTTCTTCACATCCCTCCACCCACAGCTGCCTTCAGAAGCCCAAGGTCATTGGCCCTGCCACTGTGGTTTGCCAACTCCTAAGGACCACATAAGCCCAACTGTTATGGAAAGGGTGGAACAGAGAGAGGGGCTTCTTTTCCTTCAGGCTTTGGGGAAGGCAAAGGCAAGTCCTGCCACTGCCCACTCCAGAGACAGCCGTGTCTTCCAGGTGACTAAAGGCATGTAATGGTTCTGAGGAGACCAGGACTGTGGGGAGCTCCTGGGCTGGGTGGGGGGAGCTCCTGGGGTTGGGGGGAGCTCCTGGGGTTGGGGAGAGCCCCAGATGCCGCTCCCCTCTTGAGCTGCATGGCAGAGCAGGGGTTAACGGGGAGAGGCTGCAAGGCTGGAGCTGCAAGGCTGGAGCTGCGAGGCTGGAGCAGGCGGTGGCTCCCGCCTCCTCACCACCCCCCCTCAAGAGTTGCTGACTCTTCCTTTTTGTTCGGGCTGACAGCGAGCACCTGGTGTGCTCCTGCAACAATATTGTTCCTGCCTCCCTTCCCCCAGGCCCCAGGCTCCCTTCCCTCTCCCCCTCCCCACCCGCCGGCAACCTTCCCCTCTGCCTCCTCTTTCCCTTGCCCCCTCCTGCCTGTGGCCTCCTAGGCACCCCCCCTACCACAACCACCACAAGCACCGACCCTGCAGTGTCAATAAACACAACATATGCTGCCATTAATGTGAAAATCGTGCCCTCTACCCCATTCATCTCCTCAGCCTGCCCGCCCGCTGGGGGTGGGGGTGGGGGGTGGGGGAAAGAAAGGTCAAGTGGGAAGCATTAACTACCCTCCTTTTCCGATCTGCTCAGTCTCCACCCCCACCCCCAGACTGGAGAGAGGAAGAGGAATTGGAGGAGAAGGGATGGGATAGGGTGGGGGTTTTTTGAGATCCACATTCTCTCCGACGTGCCCACTGAGCCTCCCCACAGGAAAACAGGTAAGCGCCCTCATCCAGCCCACAGTCTTCAGCTTTGGGGTGGGGGTCAGAGTGAGGCTCTTGGCCCACCCATGGACAGCCATGCTGCTGGCACACTTCTCCTGGAGCCAAATGTGGTTGCGCAAGTGGGTCGCATTCTCTTGCATATCCAGCAGTCATCTCAGCTCCTGGGGACTTTCTGTCTGTCCACAGGATTGTGAAAGAAATACCAGAACTATTCTCCATGTTGGGTTGGGCTTCAGAAAGCCCTTTTGATAGGAGCCAAATACCTCAGATAGCCAAGGTAGTGGTCTGGCCTCAGTCTCCTCAACTAAATCACCAGTTCCAAGACAGCAGGGAATAATAAAGATAAAAATAATATAATAACGACAGCTAACATGTATTGAGGGCTTATTTATGTACTAGGAATTGTGCTAAGCACTTTACAGGCTTTATCTAATTTGCTCCCCATAAGACCCCTATGGGGAAGTTACAACGGATATCCCCATTTTACAGCTGAGGAAACAGGTTTCACAGGGTAGCTAGCATGTATTGAGTGCTCACTGCATGAGCACAGCGCTCAGGCGCTCAGGCGCTGTGCTGAATTCACTTAGTACAATGTTAATGACCCTGCAAAGCTGGCATCCCTATTAGTGTCATCTTACAGAACAGCAATCTGAGGCCCAGAAAGGTTCAGTAACTTGCCCAATGTCACACAGTCAATAAGCAGAACTTGGCCAGGAACCCAAGTCTGTCTGACAGCAAAACTTGTCATCTCAACCCCTTTACTTTCCTGCTTCTCTTTTCTATCTATCACCATCTCCAGTAACCCCACAGCATGGCCGCCTCAAGTCCGCCCTGTGTGGGGTTGAACAGACACAGGGCAATGCAGAAGGAAAAGCTGGCGAGCAGCCTGAGCATGAGACAGAGTGGAGACTCATTCTCTGCTCAGGTCCTCCCTCATTTCACTGTCACTCCTCTGCCACTGAGCTGCGCCCACCCAGCCTGTGTGCTCACTGGACTCCTGCCCCCTGCCCAGCCCCATTTTAAGAATTCATGGTGGACAGGCAAAGTGCCCCTTCAGGCTCCCTTAGCACAAAGACATTGTGCTTGCCTCTGCAGCTCCTCACTTCTGAGACTCCAGTTGCTTTATTGATATTAACTTAACACTCCCCCCGCCACTTCCCCACCCGCCCTGGCCCAGGCTGACGGGCAGAAATCTGCTGCCTGGGCACCACCCTGACCTCTCTTTTCCTCTTTCATTATCCACTCCAGGCACCAGGGAGCCAGCACCAAAATTAAAACAATAACTAAGCCCGAAGTGGACCTAGCAGCCCCCACTCCCACACCAAGGGAGGGGAAAAAAGCCACAAAAACACCTGGAGAGGAGAATAATCACTGGAAGGCGAGGGGGTGACCCACTCCCACGCCAGCACCCTTCACCTGCCTTAACCCTTCGTTCCCTGGACAGTAACCAAGGTTTCCCCATTTCATCCCTCCCACCTAGTCCCATAAAGAAACAGCAGCTCTGGCAGCTGCTCAGCCATTTGGTGCAATGGGATTTGAATAAACAAACCAGGGACAGTGAGGTCCCCAGAAGTCCATAGTCAAGGGCTAAGACCCCTAGAGGCTCCCAGTCCTACCACAGCATGAAGTTCTTACTTTGGCAAATTGTTGGAGCATTGGTTGATCATTTACTTGGTAATCTGTGCTAAACACTTTATAAAGGACACCACCTTATCTGATCCTCACAACAACCCCACAAGGTAGGTGTTATTGTTGTTCCCAATTTTCAGATGAGGAAACGGGCCACACAAGTTACACGACATGCCCAAGTTCATACTAGCTAAGAAGTGACAGAATCAGGCCGGGCGCAGTGGCTCATGCCTGTAATCCCAGCACTTTGGGAGGCTGAGGCAGGTGGATCACCTGAGGTAAGGAGTTCGAGACCAGCCTGGCCAATATAGTGAAACCTCCGTCTCTACTAAAAATACAAAAAAAATTAGCCAGGCATGGTGACGTATGCCTATAGGCCCAGCTACTTGGGAAGCTGAGGCAGGAGAATCACTTGAACCCGGGAAGCAGAGGTTGCAGTGAGCAACCATTGCACTCCTGGGCAACAGAGCGAGACTCCGTCTCAAAGAAAAGAAAAAAGAAGTGACAGAATCGGGCTTCAAACTCAGGACTCTGTTTGCAGAACCTACAACTTAACCATTTTGCTAAGCCATCTGTGTGGATCTCTCTCGGTTGTTACTGGAGTCTAGTTAAACATGTAGGCTTAGTTCTGGGATCCTTTGGCCCTCAATCTCCCAGGCTACAGAATGGGCCTGCCGTGGCCTCTCATCTCATATCAGAGCTGGCTGGAAAGAAAGGACACGGGTGAAGGCAAGCCCAGTCTAGCTCTGCGGAGGCCAGCAGAGGGGGCTACTATCCTGAGGTCAAGTGGCGGGAGAGGGAAGCTTAGAGAGGCCCATCTCAGGATAGTGGAGGTGCTGATTATCCTTTAGTGGTGGGCACCTACCCATGCAGCCCCCCCTGGACATCTATGGGCTAGCACCTCCAGCAGGCGGTGTCCCTCCAGGGAGATTATCCTGTAGTGGTGGGCACCTCCCCGTGCAACCCCACTGGACATCTATGGGCTAGCAGCTCTAGCAGGGGCTATCCCTCCAGGGAGACGGGGCAAAGCTAGAAGCACTGAACTGTCCTAAGTGTGCTGAGCTCTGCAGAGGGCCTTCCTGTCCTATGCCCCCTCAGCCCTACCTAGAAAGAACCTATCTCACTGCTCCATCAGTCCCACACCAGGATTCCCAAACCCCCAAGCTGGCCCCTTCCCTGCCTCTACTCCACACCACACTCCAACCTCTCAGGGTCTTCTAACCACCCCCTTATCTTGTCTAAGGTGTGACGAAGTCCTTATTCACCTTAATTCTGCTAACACCAAGAGGGAGACTTTTCCAAAGGCTCTGTACTACAAAACTGAAGGAAAGACTAGGAGAGCCAACACTTACGTTACCATGGCCAGGCCCTGTTCTAAGGACTTTTCCTAAGATTTGCACAACAATCCTAAGAGGTTGGGTACCCCTATCTTACAGATGGAGGAAAGGAGGGCCTGAGAATTCATAAACTTTAGCTGGCGAATGGCACAGCGGGGATTTTGATCCAGGCAGTATATGCTTATGCAACACTACTTTCTCCAAAGCAAAAAAAAAAAAGTGTAAAGTCTTTATTTAAGTTCCTTGTTCCACATTAGACTGTAGGCTCTCTAAGGGCTTTCTTGCCCATCATGGCATTCCCACAGGGTGAGGCAAAGTGGGACAACCATAAATGTGCACCAAAGGGATTCCAAGACAACTAAAGGCCTCCAAGGACTGCCTGACACACCCCAGTGGGCACAGAGGACATGATCCTTCCCCTTGCCTCAGCCATGGCTAGCATGGATGCTAGACTCAGCCACACTGACTGCTGGCCACAAGCAGGCTCAGCTGAATCCAGAGCCAGGTCCGATGAGATCCTCCAGCCCTTCCAGAACTCTTCCATCTTCTCATTGGTCTCCCTTGACCCTATAGGTTCTGACCCAGTCCTGGCCCCCTCAGCTCATCCTTATAGCCCCTCAAGTGCCTGCACCACCTGTCTCCAAAGACAAGTCACACTTCATGAGGACCCTCATGGTCATGCCCTTCAGAGACTGCTACTCCCCAAGCCCGGTGCTCTCCTGCTATCATGGAGCATATTTGTGGTTAGGGCTGGCCCTGCCTTTCAGAAGTTCAGCCCCCTCACCCAACAACCTGGTTTCAAGTTGTCCTAAGGACAAGTGCCCTGGCTCCAGGAGCCACTCTGCTTCACACCTGCCCCCTGCCCACAGCTGACCAAAGACTTTCCTTTGCCACTCTCTCAATACAAGCCCTCTATTGCTCCCATTCCTGACATGAGTTTCCTCCAAATCCCCACACTGCCTCCTGTGACCCACTTAAGAGTCCTAACTCTCTGGACTTAAAATAGAAAACACTAAACACAAGCTTTTATACTTACCGCTACCAGCGGAATAAAGGTTGCATCTTTAGCAAAAACAACATAACCACCTACTAATAATAACAGTTGCCACCACTTCAAAATGGGTGGCCATTGATTTGACCAGCTCTCCCCAACCCACTTCCTACCTGTCCCCAGGCTGTGGGTCTCTCGGGATGTGTGACGTGTATGACTGTGTGCTGTGTGTTTTTGCCTTCTTGGGAAAAACTCCAAAGTGACTGCTTGCCCTGGGCTCGTCTATAATCTGGGGCATTGATCGGGGCCCATTGATAGCTGATTGTTTTCACACGTGACTCGGTCACATTCCTCTAATCTCCATCCTTCTGCTCGGTTTGCATGACAAGAAGTGGCCTCAGTGGAGAGAGGTCGCTCACCTCTGACCAGGATATAATTGGAAAAAGAAGGTCATTGCCGCCTTCGCTTCTAGGGCAGATCAGCTTCGTTCCATTTGTGTCACGAGTTCTTGCCAGCACACACTGTCAATGACATGGAGACAATGGCTGTGCCCCACAATGGAGCCCACAGAGATGTGCTCAATACAACACAAACACACCCCAGGATCCGCACTCACTCTCATCAGGACAGGCATGTACAATGACACACACACAATAGGTGCTCTCAGTAAATGCTGATGATAACATCAATGATACACCGGATGATGGGTACCCAGTGACATCCGCACACACAAAAAGACGCACAAAGCAATGCTTACCCAGCGGCGCAGGTACCCAGCAACATATACA